TTTTTTTTTTTCAGTTTACATGGAAACACCCAAGCGTAAATACATATTCTGCCTTATCCTGAGTTTCGCCCGAAAAAAAAATACACCTGAAAATTTTTCATCCGCCATAGTAAATACATGGAAACGAAAAGTGAAACCGGTTCGGGGAAAATGAAGCTCATGATAAGGCTGAAAATAATAAAATTTTTGGAGGTTCATATTTTCAAATCGGTCTAACCCTCGTAAATCTTAATATTTTCCCAAAATACTTTAGCAGAAGTCTTAGAATAGAAAACTTTGTGTGATGTGATTCCGGTGAAAAAATCCCAACTGTTTTTGCTGAGGCTCCCTAATGTACATACTTATGTAGATTAAATATACCGTTTTTAAATTGACTAAATCGAAGATCGAATAATCGAGCTCCTGCGATTCTATTTTTTTTTTTTTTTAGTTCCGGTTCGATCCGTGAATCGATGCATATTGAACTACGGTTTGCCCCAGAAAATCTATAAAATTTTAAAGAAATTTGAATTTAGAGCTTGTACAAAAAAAAATACTTGAGCGGGAAAAGACAAAAGAATTCAATGACCTACATACCTATCTTTCCCTAATTCTCCTCAGGGAAGCCTCTTAAAAATAACTCTAATAAAATTATGGCGAATACTAAAACAAAATTGGAATTCCAACCTTTTTGCAAATTTTCATAAAAAAGTTCACGCCTTAATTACTCATTTTGGAAAAAATTTTAGTATGTATGCAGTTATTTAGAAAATGTTTTCTAAAAATTGTAATTAAAATTAAATAAAAGACGTTATTTGAGAAAATATATGAATCGATCTTGACAATTCCTTCCTGCATCGATTATTTTTATTTCGATTCGAATCGTTTCGAAAATCGATTTTTTTATTTCGATCTGGCATCTCTAATGTAGATATGCAGCTCTCTACATATTAGTGTCTAATAATAGCACTGTCTCAAGATAAGCGCAAAATTCCACAGTCCAAGCAGCAACTGAAAAAAAAAATCGGCCCAGGCATCCAATTGGTAGAGTGTACTTCTGCAATGCAATGAAAAGATTTTTCACACAAATTCATCTGCAGTTAAAACTATAGAACCCTCAATTTATGCGAAAACATCGAGATGCACACCACAAATTGGGCGAGGAGATGTTTGGCTGAACACTTGGCAGTTTATGTGTTTTGTTTTATTCTCCCTGCACTTTCAACTAGTTTTATAGGTAAATATATTAAATCTGCATTATTAAAATTTGCATGCAAGTTCAAGTGTACTTACATTGATAAAAAAAATAAAAATTATCACAACAAAAAAAATTAGGTCTAAGGTGATTACCGGAAGCTTAATATAAAAGTAACTAACTTAACGCTGACCGTTTATATTCGCATTTCTTTCAAAACTAAATTCAGTGTAGAATTTTAATTTGAGTCGAATTTACTCAATGGACCTCTTCTTTGATAAGCCACTATTCTCAGCTGCAGTTATCAACGCGATGATAAGAAATAGCTTCAATAAACAAGTTGTGTGGGCATGCGTTATACATATACTCGTATGTATATGTATGTATGTACATATATAAATATGTACTTGTATGTAAACACTTGTAGTTTATTCTACCCAGTAGTAAACTGTCTTTCACAAAAGTAATGAAGGCCCAATCCGCCGGTGATGGATCTGAATTTAACAGTTGAACGATCTTTTCAGCCGAGCATGATCATCTATTCCATGATAAAAACATTACAGGGTAAATTCATTCTCTCATTCCTTGGGCCATGATTTTGTTTTTTTTTGCCGTTTTCAAGCATTTTAAAATCATATAAAATTTAAAATAAAGAAATGAAATTGTATTTTCATACGCTTAACTACATATGTACATACATACATATCGCACACCGTCTTCAAAAGAGGCACAACTCAAAATTTGGCATTTTTGAAATTATGCGCTAAAAATGTACATAGACCTTTCATTTACCTTTCAGCAAAAGCTGGAGCAAATTTTTTTTTTACACAATTTGTTAAAAAAAACCTAAGGTAAATCCTCCCTTGCCCATATGATTATCATGTGCTAAGAAATAGTTTTTCACGCTTTTTGACAAACGTGTTGTTTTGTGTTGTGACACTTTTGAAGAAGGTGTGCGATATGTATGTCCATTACCCCACGTCTACACCTTCTACAGATTGTGTTAAGAAAGCTGTGTTAATACAAAGTTAAAACAGAAATTTGACATCTGTTAAGACACATTTAGTAGAAGGTGGAGACGTGGGGTTTTAAAAAAAAAGTTACTTGAGAGGGAAAAGACCAAAGATTTCAATGACCTACATACCTATCTTTCCCTACTTCTCCTCAGAGAAGCCTTTTAGAAATAACTCTAATAAAATTAAGTTATTAAAATTAATATTAAACAACAAAGTTGGAATTCCAAACTTTATGCAAATTTTCATAAAAAAGTTCACTCCTTAATTTCTCATATTTTTTTTTTT